AAGTTGTCTCCAACTCATAGCGACCCTACGGGACAGGCTAGAACCGCCCCTGTGGATTTCCAAGACTGCAAATCTTTACGGGAGTAGAAAGTCTCGTCTTTCTCCCAAGGAGTGGCTGGCGGTTTTGAACTGCTGGCCTCACGGTTAGCACCCCAAAGGTAACCACTACACCACCGGGAGGTTTAGCGTTTTGAGTGGAGGGGATCTACTTTACACTAGAGGGGAGGAAGAAGGGGACAAACCACATTCCTCCTTAGGACCTGGCACAGGAGAGTCACTCCAGCGACAGTGCACAGCTGGTGCTTTGGCAGGCCACTGAGAATGGTGGCTTTGGGGACATGAAATACCAAGACTGGGATCCACACACCAGCGGCTGCTGGCATATGGTGAGGGGAACGCCAGGAGCCAAGCCTGGAACCTGCTACGAGGCAGGAGCACAGGTGAGCCGAGCAGATGGCGCAGGAGGAAGCATAATTAAGGAGCAACAGGAAAAGTACCGTTCCTAATAAGGAAATGAAAACTTGTCTGTGTGTGGACAGGGGAAGTGGGGGGAGAAGATAATAAAAACCACCTTTGATCTTCATGGGGCCCTGAAACCCCCTTCCGGCCAGAGCCACACTGTGGTAACAAACACACATCACACTGACGTGGAACTTGCACAGCTGTCCACAGTGAGTGGTTACGATGCTTTTAAAAGCCAGCTATTTGATCTAGATTTTCACTTGCGCCTCTGAAGAGCTCGTGGGGGGAGCGGGGAGGGGCAAACTGACAGCAGTCGCTCGGAAGATGAGCTCACCAATCTAGGGGAGGAGGGGGACAGCAGACTTCCGTCCACTGGGGAGCGAGGCTCCCAGAGTGGCGTCTGCATCCCTTCACTGCAGGTGGGGCGCTGTGGAACTAGGGCTGTTAAGTTGTGCATCTCCTCACAACCACCAACAACAAACATTAAATACTGCTGGAGGGAAAATAAGCAAGAATCGATCGGTAGGCAGTTCCTTAAGGGTTTCGGTGTGATGTAACGACACATAAACTCATTAACCACTTCCACGAGTGACAATTGCGAAAGGACACCATGTTCTAATAACTTGTTGTTGTTGTTGTTAGTTGTCATTTACAACCAGCCTGGTTTCTGGAGACACACACACCCAAATCCCAAACTCACTGCCACCGTGTCTATGCCAACTCAGAGGGAGCCTGTAAAACAAGAGAGACAGTCCTTGTGGGTTTCTGAGACTCTAACTGTTTCAGGGAGTAGAAAGCTTTGTCTATTCCAAGGAGCAACTGGTGTTTTTGAACTTCTGGACTTGTGGTTAGCAGCCCAATGGGTAAACCATTGTGCCACCAGGGCACAGCAGAGCAAGCCTCTACCATCCCCATGATGTGTTGAGCATGAGACCATGCTAATCCGTAGGATTCTCACGGGCAGTTTCTAGATTGCCAGGCCTTTCTTCTTCGTTGGTCAGTCTGGAAGCTCTGTTGAAATGTGGTCGGCATCACAGCACCATGGACAGACCGCTGGTGGTGGTGGTGGTGGTGGTGTGTGTCGGGGTGTCCTCAGGGGGTTGCTCAGTGGGGACTCAGGTCTGGGTGAGCATTGTCACTGAACCCTAAGGCCATCCTGTCCTATCGTCTCAAACAGAAATGTTAGTATCATATACTCATTCTCATTCACATAGTTATGTTTTGTATTTACAGGTTTATTTCACTATCTTTATGAACTTATTTCATATGTTAATTATAATACTCTCTCCAATAATAGGAAATCAGTGAATAGCATTTCCCGGCAGAAATAGCACAGGAAAGGGCCTGTTCCCAGGGGCGAAGGCCTTCTCTGAACCCAGTCCAGTCCTAATGTCAGCAGCCATTAAGATCAGGGAGCTAAGGCTGCGGTGTCTGCTTTTGCAGAGCTGAGGAAGAAGCTCCGTCCTTCCATGTTGGGGCCGATTGCTTTCAAGGGGATGAGACAGCAGAGGGAGGCGGGGCCCTCAGAGGGACGAGGCTGGAATCTGAGCCGCAGTTCCAACACTGGGAGAAATCAACCCTGATCGCAGAGCGAGTTCTGTCTCAGAGGAGGCTTCTTCCCTCTTCTTGTCAATCCGCACCCTGAGTGACCCAGGGGCAGAGCAGGGAGCCTGCATACTGTGCCCCTGTCTGTGCTTCACAGGGTCGCTGTGAATCGGAACCAACTCCATGCTACCGAACAATAGTCTCGATGGAAGCTGACGTCACATCTTCCTCCTGCAACGTGACTCACTCCCTGTCATGGGGTCCATTCTGACTCACAGTGACCCGATAGGACAGGGTAGCACTGCCTCTGTGGGATTCTGAGACTGTAATAGAAAGCCTCTCGTTTCTCTCTCAGAGGGGCTGCTGGGTTTGAACTGTTGACTGTGGAACTACTAAGCCTGTGGAGTGGCAGGGGGCTCACACCACCAATCTTGTGGTTCATAGTGGAGTGTTTAGCCATGACACCGCTGGAGCGCCCAAAGTTTCTTTAGTGAAGTTTCATGTTCGATTGACTGCCAAAAGAACAAACAGGTCTGTCCTGGACGAAGTACAGCCAAAATGCTCTTCTGAGGCAAGAACTTCATCTCTGGTGCTCAGACATGCTGTCAGGAGCGAGCAGTCCCTGGAGAAGGACACCATGCTTGGTAAAGCAGAGGGCAGTGAGACAGAGGAGATGGGTTGTCACTGTGGCTGCCACCATGGGCTCAAGCACAGGAACAACAGCAAGGATGGCACAGGACCGGGCAGTGTGGGGTTCTGTTGTGCATGAGGTTGCTATGGGTCAGAACAGACTCCCTGGCTCCACACAACACCACATGGTATTAATGCCATTTTCCCAATCTGTCTCCCCAAGCCCCTGCATTATCGGAAAGTAGAGGGCACTTAGTCCTGGGGCAGACCCAGGGGCTTATGGGTCACCAGGTGAGTCAGGAAACGGTGAGCCCTGCCTGGATGTTTCCCTTTCCCTGCAGCTGTGCCTTGCTCGTGAACACCTGCAGGAGGGAGCGGAAGGGACTGGGCTCCCAGGTGAAATGGTGCCATGAAAGGAAATGATGAAAAAGCCCCATGAAAACGCTGTGGGCTGGTGTTTACTGTGAATCCACACCGCGGAGGCTCGGAAGACACTTGGCAGCTCCATTTAGTTGCTGCTTTGGTGAGCTGCCCTCCCGTGATCCCTGACACCTGGGCAGCCCAAGGATCTGGTACCCTGCAGGAACCTGCATCCCTGCAAGGATGGGCTCCTGTGCTCGACAGCATTTCCAATGGCTACCAAGCCTTTCTTCCTAGTCCTTCTCAGTCTGGAAGCTCTGCTGAAACCTATGCAGCATCCCGGCTCCCTTAAGTAAACCCAAACCAAGCCCTCTGCCCTCTGGTTGCTTTCCAGCACCACCTCATCTTTCTCTCCTGGAGCAGCTGGTGGGCTCGAACCACCAGTTTGTGGTTAGCAGCCTGACGTGTAACCCAGAGTGCCACGGGGGTTCTTAGAGAAGGAGAAGTGGCTACAATGAAGCATTCCAGTACTATCTAGGAATCAGATGTAAGCATGCATCATCATTCATCTTGAAGTTAACCACTTCCTCCCTCCCTTACTCAAAGGAGCCCAGATGGTGCTGACGTTAAGTGCTTGGCTTTCCACTGAAAGTGAGTTAGTTTGAACCCAGCAGGGACTCCATGGGAGGAAGCAGAGACCCTCTGTGTTCCTACAGACTACAGCCTGGGAAACCTTATGGCGAAGCTGCCCTCGGAGTCAGAATGAACTCGGCAGCAGTGGGACAGGCTTGGTGAAATCATTCTTGGAAGTACAAGTAGATCTTTGGAACACGGGTCAGCGAACTGCTGCTTGAGAGCCACCTGCGGCTGTTTCAATGCGTGCATGTGGCTCTGAAGTAAAACTGAAAACAGAATGATTTTCGTTTCATTTATGAAGATTTTAAGGCTATGACTTGGATAATGGTGATTTCATTTGTTTGTAAAAATGTACTTATGGCTCTTGAACCATTTTTAAATTGTTGTGAGGGGCAGGATTGGCTTGTCTGTCTCAACAGTTTGCTGACCACTTGTTTAGAAAATAGTGCATTGTGATCTAACACGTGCTTGTGCACATGGACAGAACACACACACACACACACACACACACACACACACACACACA